GGGGAACTGGTAGCTTCCGATCACAACCTGTCGGTAGATAGACTGGAGTACAGACTGGCGACTGTTCTCCACCCCCAGAGCCTCATTTGAAGCCATTCTCGTCTGGGCAGACAATGTGCACAACGTAGGCGACTCGATCGGTCTGCCTAATGTGATTGCGGCGGTAGAACTGTTGGTCGTCTTGGCAACAGGCGATGGCGCTTCAGTTGGCATGCCCTCCCGAGGACGGTCGACGGGACGGTCAGGCTGAAATGGAGGCCGTCCGACCAGCATGAAGTAGAGCGTTACTCCTGCAGCCCAGTAATCCGACGCAAATGAATGCCCATGGAGGAAGAAAATCTCTGGAGCCAAGTAGTTTGGGGTGCCGCAGATATGACTAGTAGGCAAAACAAGAGACAAGAGACAATGTATAGACTAAGTACCTTCGGCATGAGTAATTTTCGAAAGAATGAACTATTTATTCTTGAATTCGAGATTAGTTACCTTAGCCCTCTAGCTGTGGTTTACGATGGATAGTTGAGTCGGCCTCACGTCGAATGGTAACGTCGCCACGATACTCACGATCCGGTATTAAATCACGCTCAAAACTACAGTCCATTCTGAACGAGATAGGCCAAGTGAAATTCACTGAGATCATGAGGCCTGATCGTGTAATTGTGGGAAAAAGCACCCACATAGGATGACTAAGTTCTTATGCTATTGTGACTTTGATTTGGTGCGAAAGCGCCCTGTTGAAGACATTTGTAAGTCGAGTGAAAGCGCAAATAGGTTGAGCTTTCGAGTATCAAATGGCGGATAAAAGTCATTACGGCAATGTCATCTTGAAATCCAGTTACCAAATCTAGCCGGATAGCCCATACTTGCTACATATACTCGTAAAGTTGTTCAACTAATGGAAGGTATGAAAAGTCTTGATCAATTACGTACGATAATTGTATATAGTGATGAACATCTGTACATACGCATGTATGTGCGCACGTATGAGGACGAAATGTGGTCTTGAGTAATCAGAACCAAGCAGGAACATGTGTCCTAAGATCGGCAAGGCTTAATTACCGAGAGGCATGACTATAATTATGCCGTGCCAGACATTTGTATGGTTGCGTTTATTGGAATAAGAACTGTATTCACCCTATTTCATTCAAGGTGATGTGATCGCATCTAAATTGTCCCACAATCATACGAGTAGGCCTTACGTTTTCATTGAATTTAGTATAACCTTGTTTCCTAAAAAGATTCTTACCTCGCCTAGCCTTGCCGATGGGCAAAGTTGTATTTCTGCAAGTACGTTCGACCAGATTATCTACTTTAGTTTTCGTTTGTTTTATTTTTTTAAAGCAGGTTCTCGAGACTGCCAGCATATCTTGAATAAAAACTATATTCATCTCACTTCATTAAAGATGAGGAATCTGCCGTAGTCTCTTCACTACACACTTTCCCTAGAAATGGATGTGAGCTTAAAATGTATAGATCAAGAGGTTCACCGAAACCAACTTTTATTCGCCTAATATTAATGATAACCACAGTTGAGAGTATTAGTTATGACATTAATTTTGAAGGTGGCCCCACCCTCTCACTATACTTGAGTCTATCAATCAAGCACAAGTAGTTCATGCTCCACGTTTTAGCAACATTTTTAGCATTCAATGCACTTTCCAATCTAAAAAGTTTAACAGCTTCCTTAATTTTGCGTTTTGTAACAGGCATTCCATAAATGACAAACTGAACTGACTTATAAAACTCAATTTTATATCCAGTTTCCGCCATTTCTGACCTCTGTACGTAGAATATATAGGTGTAAGGGCTTGTGGATAGTGGTATGTCTGTTGGAAAGCTCAAAATTAGATGAGGTATATAAATCAACAGGTCAAGCGGCGTCAAGAATGCTAGGAATGGAGGTAAGAAAAAAAGCAAGAGCTAATAACTTTTCGTGTATAAGTAGCTTTCGAGACCTCCAGTAGACGATATATATGAGATGTATTCATATATATGATCTATAGACAGTCTCGAGAACCTGCCTATAAACGAAAAATGAATAATTCATCCGATTGCTATGTAAATCGAAAATCCCAGCATAGAATGTGTGGCTTTCCTTGAAATTCACATCTGTCCTGTGACACAAAGGTACTTGTGTCGACGTGACGTATTGGTTAACGTGTCGAGATTATATGCCGCACCACCACATTTCGAGTCCCGCTGGGAATACCAAGGACATCTAGGGGAGGTCGAAACAACAGTCCACCTTGCATGAGAATACCTTTTGAGAAGCAAGGCTATGTGAAATCCAATGGGAGCTGAAGATATATTCATATCATTGTGGGAAAATGCAACTACTAGCTACTTATCTCATAAATTCAAGAATAGATATGTGGCTGAGCTACCTTCATAAAAGGCGATTCAACTAATATACTCTGGATTTTTTATTTAATTGATGCCATACCTTCTACACTTAGGCCTAGGAAGCTAACCAATTCATCTGCTTGACCTAATCTTAATGAGTATTTCGCCCGAGTGGTAAAAGAAACGGTCATTAAACCCAAATAAACATAGAAACTAATTGCAACTATGGTTTGATTAGTGTGGACTATCATTTTGGTCTCGTGCGTTTACATGCGCATGCATACACACGTACACACGCGCCGATGCACAACAATGTAAGAAAGTGTCGTAGGCGAATAGTCAAGTTATGAAAAGAAGCTAGCTTTTGAAGTATAAAATAATTAAGTCTTTCGACTCTAGCTGATTGGCATTTGCAATATGAATAAAAATTGACCTTGGAGGAATCTTTTTGCTCATACATTTCGAGTGAAGGTGCGTAATGAAGAGATTTGACGGTCAATCCGAAGAGAAAATAGCGGATACCTCTCGGACAGCTGTCTGCTGGATTGGCTAGAACATGCTGATTGAGAATGTCCCAAATGCAAGCTCCCTCGATTTCGGTGTTAAAGGGCTAAGCCATCGTGTGTCATATCATTTGAAGAACCACCCAGAACAGAATACCACACTCACAAGCAAACTCACATTAAGCATACCGACACACGAGGGAGAGAAAATTTAGTACGTCTTCACCGGAATCAACTAGAATGCCAACTGACAAGTGGCCGAGAGGAAACCGCCGTTGTATTTGGGTGAGATCGACCTTTGGACCTCTGTATCGTACATTTTCACTCAAAATGGAAGTAAGTCGAACAAGCGTTTGTACAACTCGTGGCAAGCTCTAGGCTGACAGAAGATGGAATCGCGTTCCGACGATGTCCGTCACACGACATGATATTTGGCGACATGTTTCGACGAGCCGAAGAAGCCTGCATCGAGGACCACGTGAACCTGAGAGTTCCAGTAATGCCGGCTGACGTCAGACCATTCGCAATCCGTCGTCGTGTTCGCATGACATCAACCCTCGAATCGAC